TGGTGCATAGCAGAGTAGAGAAGGAGCAGCAGGAGGAAATGTAACCAACACTGACAACAGAGTCATTGAACTTTCCACTAACAAACACTGAGAGCGGAGATGCTGACCTGGCGATCTGGGCACGCATCCCATGTGCAGAGGTGATGTCTTTAAGTGGATGGCCCGGGTTCGGTTTCAGCCTGTGGCCCCTTTCCCACAAACCACTTTCTGCTCTCTCTCTCTCTCTCTCTCTTTGTTTCTTGCTCTGTCCACTGTCCTGTCCCCTCAGTACTGATACCTGTTGTTAATCGTTGATGAGACCAATAATCAAACTGATTAGCATAATAAATCAAAATAAAGATAATTGGTCAAAAAAACTTTCTATAACAGCAGTAGGTTACTTTAAAGTAACCCAAAAAGCTGCTAACCTTAGGGATCTTCGCAGTGTCATAGTTAAATCAAATGTGTTTTATGCTTCGTTCTAAGGGCCTGATATCTCTCCTGCAGCCCCATCAGTTGATATCTACCTGGTCTACCCATCTGGGGTGGTGGGGGGCTGAGCTTGTCCCAGCTTTCATTGGACAAAAGGCGGGGTACATGCTTGATAGGGCTCCACTCTATCACAGGGCTTACACATAAAGATAACAGTCCATGTATACACCTATGCTTACAGGCAGTTTAGAGTCACCAGATAGCCTGATAAAGGGATTGTTGAAAGAAACTGTACCGTAACTGTAAGCGAGAAAAGATAAGTCAGTGTTTAATGTATTTTGGCTTCAGTTTCCTTGAATTTAAAGAAGATACTGATACAGACCTGAGTGGTCAAATAATGCGATCTCTCATTGTGTGCTTTTATATCTTCATAAAACCTGGTTGAATTTAGTTTGTCTCAGAACCGTAAATTCCAGAATATAGTGAGGCAAAGTCTGTTTTTGGGAAGGCCCCAGAGGGAGAAGCGTTTTAACCGTGTTCCTGCATGAAGACTCCTATTGCCTTCAGCACTGTGCAGTTTCTATGCAAATGTGTAGCTGCATTTGTCAAAGCCGCCCTGCTAGTATGTTACCTCTTTATACTTGTATCTTGGTCATACTGGTGTGTAGGGTGCAGCTTACATGTAAAGATATAAAAAGTATGTTTTATACACCAAAATGAACATTTTCAGATTTTTGAATTTCTTTTTTTGGATTATATCGGAGATACTTTTTTTGTTCATATTGTAAGTTGAAAGCTAAGCCACTTACCTATGCACATATGTGGTTATGGCATTAATTATCTCGCCACCACAGAGGAAAATATCCATTTCCTACTCTTCCTTTCATTAAGATGCCTCCTTTTTCTCTTACAGCCATAAAATGTGACTAAATTACAACAATTCCAAGATTTATTCATGAAGTCTTCCTTTTTCGCCGCCTCAGAATAAAAAAGAAACCAAAGAACAAAAGAGAAAACAGTGAGTCCTGCTCGCATGCATGGTCGACATGTGTGCGTGGGTGACACAGGTGCAGCCACACATGTCCACACTCACACACGCTCGGCAGTCACACCAGCAGCCCGTCCACCTGACTTTTTCAGCTGCAGAGAAGCCGGAGAGGCTGCGGCGGTGGTTATTATTATAGCTCTGCTGTCATTAATATCAGGTGCGCTTTCTCAGCCATGCAGAGCTGCTGGTGAGGCTTAGTCAGTGATGGTGGGGGTCATTACATCTCGCCGGCTCTTGTCTTCCTATCTCTGCCTCCACAGGACACTAACAAACCGTGCTGCCTCCACTGAACCATCCAGCTCAGAAGCACCCAGGTAGAAAATAGGCGTTGTGCCAGTCACCTCAGTTACTGACACAGTGGGATTCCACGAGGACGGCATTAAAAGCTCCCTCACCAATGCAACTTTTGAGTAATGCTTGTTAGACCTGCTGCCAGCATGAGACCTAAACTTTTGCAGTCATTACTTCTGATGATATGACCATAAACAATGCCAACATGTCAGTGGGCTAACTATGGCCAATAAATTTTAATGCACACTGGCCTCTGTATTGGTGTGCTGTAGCTGAGCTGTGCACTAACACCGAGGTATCAAAGCTGCAGCAACACTGAAACTGGCAGGTAAGGGAGCATCACTGTTCTCTCGATCATTAACATAAGGTAAACAAGAAAGGGGAAAAAGCAAACCAATCATATATAAACCACGATAACACCAGAAGCTAATAGGCTCCAAACACATGACCATAAATGAGTTTGATATATGCTCATGCTAGCTCCGACTAATCAACTCTGGCAGCTTTATGGGGTCAATATCTCTGCATGCTAAAACACACACACAACCACTAAAGCTGGAGGATATAGAGCGAATCAATATCATGATTTATGTATTTTTCTGTTATTAGTGTATGATTGTTTCATGATATGTTACGGTTTGTTAAACTTAGAGTAGACGTAGCTCACCTCCTCCCCTTTGTAATACATTTAAAAATGCTAATTGTGGTCATTCATTTTGCTCTAAAGTCAGCTGATAATTTTGTGGCAACTGAGAGAAAAAGACAAACTGCATACCTGTAGTTCGGGGTGTAGTTTGTCTAGGTGGTGTCGCCATCGCTGTATACATTGCATCTTCACAGTGGACCAAATAACCCTCAGATGAATGGGTCTACACCTGAGGGTCCACCAAAAACCAGAGCTCGTGTTTAGGCCATCAGGAGTACTTAAGGCATAATGAGTGAGACAAAAAATGTAAATTCTGTGTAATGAGTTTTTGAAGTTTGTCCACAACTCCATAAGATTTTGCTGGATTTTTTTAAAAACCAATCTAAAAACCCATTTTTATTCCTTGTCTTTTGACCCAGCATGAAACGGCATTTGTTTTATTGCTTCTTTATTGCTTTTTATTATAATTTAAAACAACTATTTATTGTTGTTTTATGTTTTTATCTTATTATGTACAGCACTTTGGTTGTATTGAAAGTGCTCTATGAATAAAGAGTTGAGTTGAGGAGGATGTGGGATTTATGACCTATACCGCAGCCCGTCACCAGAGGGTGCTGTTCTCACGGAGGCTTCACCCAGCGAGGAGGCAGATGACATCCATTTTATATACAGTCTATGGTCATTATACACCGAGATACTGATATGACGCCACTTAGAATATAGTGTGTATGTACAAAGGTGCTTAGGTGCTCTGTCACTTGATGGTAATGATAGGTTGTGTTTGGGTGGAACTCAGTTGGATGTTATACAGTTGAAAAACCATGCTGTCATTACATTGTATGTGCAACAGATTCTTGTACCTTGTAAGCCTTAGTGTTGAAAAATGAAGCCAATGCAAAAGTAAGAAAAAAAAAAATACAGTGCCTCATGTGTCCATTTTAGACTGGCTCTGAATGCCAAGAATCTTTGTAAGGCTGCATACTGAAATAAACATATTTACAGCCTGGTTCAAAAATGGATTTTGGCTGTAATAGCTAATTTTTTCTATTCATTGAAATGTTTTTAATATTCTATTTTAATATTCCTTTTTTTTTTTTTTTTTTTTTTTTTTACAAAAAAAGGATTAGGGCCACCAGAAGAGGAAACAATAACTACAGGAGGGAAATATTTTTTTTATTTCCATTTTGAGATGAAAGCCAAAATTTCGTGATTGAAGTCAAAATTTAAAAAGTTGAAATAAAAAAATAAATTAAAAAGATTACAAAAAATCGAAATGACGTTAATAAGTTGAAATTTCAACATTAATCTCCAAAGTATTATTTTTTTTAATCTCAAAATTTCGACATTATTCAAGACTTTTCGACATTTTGTAATCTCGAAATTTCGATTTTAAATCTTGAAATTTTGACTTTAATCCCCTCCCTGTATTTATTTATTTTTCTCCTCATGTGGCCCTAATCCTCTTCCGTAGTTTTTATCAGGGAAGAGCCTGACACAAAAGTATTTGAACCCATCATAGCAGTTTGGGGTCGGGTTTCAGACCTACCTCAAATCCACTCAGAGTAAGCATTTCTAACATGGTGACCATCATCTTAACCTTCAGAAAGCCTCTTTATGTTAACATCGCCTGCTGTGCTACTGCTCAAGGCTGTTGCCTCAGCTACCACATTTTACCTATTCATGTCCCGAAACACGCACTGAAGCCACATACACATTTACCCTAAACATACAATACATCTGCTCTAAGATTATGAGTGAGTCACGGTCATGTTTACATCCTCACATACATCCTCACAACTGTGCCTGTAGTGCAGCTATAACTGCAGCTCAGTGCAGGTGGAGCAGTTTTATGTCCTGCAGGGGGTTTGCCTCGACTCCAGCTTTGCTGAGGAAGGCAGGGAACCGTATTAGTCTCCATCCCCTTACGTCAGTGGTCATAACATTTGCCATTACTTCCCCTGCAAGATTCAATCACCAGCACACAAAGCCATGCTTCACGCACAATGAAAGGCGAGTGCTTTTTGTCAGGCATTGGGCGGAGTGGATTGCATATAGAGTGACTCCAAGATAGCATTGTTTCTGGCTGCCATAAAAAATCTATTTAAGGGAAATCTAATCTTCATAATCTCCTCCCTCAGAGGTGGTGAACGGTGATGGGGAAGATTTCCATGTGAGTCCAGGGTGTCTGGTTGGCTGTGTGCAGGGCTTGGAGGATGTAGGAAATAGCTGGGAGCAGAGGATATTAAACTTCAATTTGAGAGCCCTGATAAGCACCGAATTGGTGATTTATTTAGGCACATTGTCAACTAAATCATCCTTAACCACTGGACACAAGTATATTCATAAACACAACCCTCCTGCTTGCTTTACAATTCTCTTTTTTCCTATCTCTCATCTAAACTGCAGGGTAAATACTGTATGTCCTCAAACTGGTTGGAGATATGGTTTTGAACAAAGATAATTTTCCCGGTGATTAGTTTTGGTGTAGCCTAGCAACCCTGAGAGCGTGTGAGTGTGAGAAAGGAGATGAGGAGTGAAAGCAAAAAGGAGCTTTCTGTCTCCTCTCCTTTTCTCTTATTCTCTCTTTCTTCAAGCTTAAATGGGATGGCCACTAAAGCGGCTCTGCACATTGCTCCGCTGTGCGTCATTTTGGAGCGTGTAAATGGGCCGGTGCAGTGCAGTAAGGGAAAAAAAGGGGCCCCTCATAAGTCCGCCACAGTGAATGAATTATTAATGGATATAAATCCCAAACAGAGGGATGGGGCCGAGACTAATGTCCGCTGGCATGAGTTCCGTAGAGATGGGCAGCATCTCAAGGAAAGCCGGGCAGCCTGGCAGCTTCACACCGCTGTCAGCTGAGGACACTAGATCACTGCAGAGGAAGGGACACTCAACGGGAATCATTCTCACCTCCACCGTGCATTGTAAACATTAACACCCGAGTGTGTGTGAGTGTGTTCGAGAGTGTGTGCTCTCCTCTTCTTCTTCTTCTTCTTCTTCTTCTTTGTGAGCTTAAAGTATCCTCTCAGGGGTTTCTTTGAGGGATTAATTTGCACTCAGGATCCAGGTTTAAGGTTAACTTTAGAAGAAGGATTAAGTTGAGTTTAAGAGGTCAGGGAGTGAATCTAACCAATTAAGCTTTATACGCAAAGTAATACATGTAAATGCAAAGGTACCGCTTCTATGTGTGCGTTTTTATGCAGATAGACAATGTGTCTTATTTCGTGTGACTGTGTAGGATGCGCAAGAGGATAGACTTTAGAGAAGTGTGGGAGAGACATTCTTTTAAAACCTGCAAAAATGAAGGAAATAGGAATTTTGCTTCACCCGCTGTCTCTGTCAGAAAAAGCGCTGCTTCATCCTCATGAATTGTCTGAGCACCTCAGGCTGCCAGAAGGAACCATTTTACAGCCTCATGTCCTCATGACTCATCATAATGAAAAATCTTCTCGCCGAAAAAAGTCTGGTATTGAAAAGAGGAAAGTTTCATTACAGAGCGAAATGCCATTTGGGAAAGTGACACTCGCTTTTAAAAAATGAATACCGGAATAAAAGTAAAACTTACCATGTTTTATAATAGAGTAATTATCTGTTTTACAACCTTTGGTAGGAAGATAACATTTATAAGAATGGGCTCATCTTTCATCATCACATCTTGGAAACTCTCCACAGTAATACGCGCAGTTTTGAGGAATGATACTTTTCAAAATCCTCCGACTTTTACTGCTGTCCTGTCTGCTACAAATTACATTATACTAGACAAGCAATTTGTTAGGCTCCTCTAAGCAACTTTGTCCATTTACTCATAGTTTTTTCCATATCTCATGTCCTGCACATGCATAGGTGATATTCTTAAACAAAATATCTGTTCCATTTTAACAGTCAAAGATTTCCCCTGTGGTAAGATGAAGAAGTCTAATTCTGCAGGGTGCTACCATGACAGCAGTTTTAGGCATTGAAAGTAACTATTTTGTCATCCTGCAGAGACATCGAAATCACTTTTAGTCTGTTTTAGAATCAGCTAAAAACTCCTCAGTGGAGCTTTAATACGTATGTCTGCAAGGGCATGCTAAATCTGGCACGCATGTAACTAGGGATGTCCAGGTACAACTTTTTGACTTCAGATACAATACCGATATTGTAGCCTACAATATTGACCCATACTGATATTGATCCGATATTGGCACAAAATTGTGTTTTTCGGACTTAAAAAATACTGCCACAAGGCCGACATCACTCTTACTCCTTGCTACTTTGTTAGTACCTTAGTACACACTGATGTGATTTACCACTTTAGTACAGAGTATAATCTACAGTATGCATAGTCTCAGACTCAGTGATATTGGTTTGTGGAGCAGAGTTTTGAAGATGGTGGTAGGTATATTGGCTCATTTAGTGCTGGCTCATCTTGTCTTATGGTCGACCAAAAAGGTGGGCGGGCCTTCGGGAGGCTTTTCATCTCCTTGCCAACAGCTACAGTTTCCCCATCCTGTCAGTCAAGTCAGCCATGCCCCTAATCATACCAAAGTTGCAGCCTTAATATCCTTAAAACTAATGAGCACTGAAAGAAACAGTCATTCCCTGTATAAATGAAGGATTCGTGTTTTTGAACCAGGCTGTGAACAGGTTTACTTCTGCGATAAAGATGAGCTTTTCAGGGTGTGTTTGTGGCTTCAGGCAAAATTTGTACATGAACTCGGAGAGATAAATTCCTCCAGCTTTGGAGATCCTCTCTCTCTCTTTATCTTCCACTATCATTTACCTAATATGCCCATTTTATGATTTTTGAGAAGGTATAGCAGGGGTCCATGTAATTTTTAAGCTCCTTGGCAAATGCATCCAACAATGCAACATTAACATTCCCTGTGCTGATGATAGCATACTTCACTACTGCCTTGTACTGCTTTTGTCCCTCTGGAACAAAGAGCAAAATATATTCATGGCCAGTTAAGTGTTCATAGCAGAACGATTGTGCACATTGCATAAAATGGCATGTATATTTATATTCTAAGGGTATCTATAGAATATGAGGAGTATAAAGTATAAATTCAACAGCGCTGTGCTGTGCATTTTACATCCTGGCTGCTCCATTAAATTTAGTATTGATAGAACAGACCTTGGTAACAAGGCAAACAGTAAAGCCAGCTGTGCCTTTGGGGAGGTTTGCTTATTAACAGGCGGGGAGTCAGAACACACACTGAGGCACACAGACAGGGATCACTATTGAGCTGTCTGTCACTGGGGAAATTGCTCCTGTCCATACACTGCAAAAAAAAATAATAAAAAAAAGTCCATCTCAACGTGTGATTTATTTATTTCATCCGGTCTTAAAATCACTGCTCAACAAGTGTGACCACCTGAAGAGAGGACCGGGGGGGAGCTTTGATTCATCTCCTCATGTCATCCTTCTTTTGTCCGTCTGTCCTCTATAATTTACTCAAAGCTCAGGTGCACAGATGAGATCTGGACCTGTTTTCAGGGGGAATGACTCATCACGCTAATCCGCGAGCTGTGGAGTTTTATCTCTTAACTATTTTAAATTAGATTTTTACTCTTTCCACATGTAGTTTGCGGCGGAGTTTTTGTACTACACTCGTTCATTTAACATTGTACATCATCTGCTTTCCATCAGCCAGTTATCACAGTGGACCAGCAGAGCCACCGCAGGAGGAGAATAATGAAGCACATTGTTTGCTCTGAGAGGTCTGAGAAGATCTGTCACAGCAGGTGAGACTCTTCCTTTCCAGCTGGTGCTAATGAGGCCTGCCAGGACTCTCTGTGGTTTCCCGTCTCCACTGTCAGAACAGGCTTTGCAGATTAAGTCACATACAGATCCGGTTTCTTTTTTCCCCTCTTTTTTTTTTTTTTTTTTTTTGAAGCAAACTTACATAAGAACACAAGGGCGAAACCACGCGGCATCGACACATTACCCACTCACGGTCGTGTAGGTTTTTTTCCATGTGATTGCCCATTCGAAAAGTGCCGTGGCTTAATGCGGCGTTGACTTTGTGGAATGTTAATTAGTACGGAGGATGACAGTAATGAAGACTTCTTCATAAAAACAAGTGACAGTGTGTCAGGATGAAAGATGGCTGGACTAACCCTTGTTTCCAGCTGAACACGAACAGGCACGCAGCCGTTTATTTAAACTATTGAAAATGACTCAAAGTCCAAAATCTGAGTCTGTCTTGGAAAAAGTTACTGTTGAGATGAGTTGGTCCTTGTGATAAGATTTAAAGAAAACTCCTCGAATTCTGACTTTTTCCACGAATTTTCACTTTAACTTCAGAGTCGAACCTGGCGAAGATAAAAGTCAGTCAGAGAGCGTCTTATCTGTCGAGAGAGCTCTTATTACGTTGAAAAAGTGCGAGGAGAGGAGAAGAGGCCCGAGAGTTTTTCGAGCGGAGGAGAAGATGGTTTAGAGACTTTGAGGTTGAAGAAATGCTCTCCAAACAATAAATGAGTTAATTAAACAGACTGGATTGCGCAGTGATCGTGTGTGGTGGTAGATCTCATCAGAACTGATTTCTTCACATCTCACAGCCAACACAGCAATGCAATCTTGCAGAAAATGAAAATGATCAAAAGTTGGAGATATTTGGCAAATTGCAAACATTTGGAATGAAAACTGGAAAGATGCAAAAGCACAGCAGTGATGATTTGGGTCTGTTGCAACTGCCAGTCAGCGAAGGGATCACACAAGCAATCCCGGCGCTGCCAGAGCTTCATATTGTGATGCAATTTGTTCAGTTCCTGCTGGACATCCACCCCCTGTAGACTCATGGGCGAAGCGGGCTTCCCTGATGTTGTGAAAGTTGTCGATGGGCCACACATCTGCATTATTCTGCCATCAGTTCATTGGTTTATGATTGATTTAAACGCCAACTACTCCGCTTCTTCGAGGCGAGATAAAAGCAGGGCAGCAATCACAGGAACTGATGGAAGCTGAGCCTTTGTTTTATTTCCTCAACATCAACTCGATTAAGTCCAAAAATGATCCACATGGTAAATAAACAAGCGCATATAAATTGAATTATCAGCATGTGAAGATGCTATCATGGGCATGTTTTCGAACATTTCGAAGGCTATATAAATGTTAATCAGCTCAAATGTTTCCAACTATGCAATAGCTGACTAGATTTGTGATTAAGCTGATTGATTTCTATCAAAATTAGCGAAGACCGATATTTTCATAGCAAAGATTTTACCTTCTGTTCTCACCCTGCAAGATTTTGTAAGGTATGTGAAAGGCGATCAAGGCTGCACTGTTCTTAAATCATATATTTGACATTATACATTCATTATCGGCTTTTCTGTCGAGGAGGCAAGAATCCGGGTTTTCATTCACATGAGCAGTGTTCAATTTCTTTATTTTTAGTCCAGCTTTGAGGAACTTTCTTTCTTGCTCTGTTAGAAAACTTAGGGTGACCATACGTCCTCTTTTGGGGGGCTGTCTGGCCTGTCTGAGGGGAGTTTATAAAATCCTTCAAATGTCTGGGGTTTTTGTACGGAAGCCCTTTTTTTTTCACTGGGGGAAACGGGCATCCATCGTTTTGAGTTTGTGGAGCGTGTACTTTATCTTCACATCACAGACCACTGTATTGACCATACACGTTTAGTGGTTCATGTGGAAACACACTCTGAGAAGCGGAGTTCCACGCCGAACCCCGGAACATGTATTGAAAACAGTGCAGCGCATCAGTGCTCTCTGCTGCTCTGCCCCTTCGCTCAGTTCAAAGCAAAGCCACTGAAATGACGAACACACGCACTGTCGGCCGTTGAGCGAAAGAAAAGGGAGAAATATTTGTATGAGACTGATGATTTTGATAAATGAATATATTGTTCATAAACGCAACTTT